TCATCCCAGAGCGGTGTCACAAAATGGGCTTGGTTGTCCTCAACACTTTGCACTGGGACCACACTTTCCAACCAAACACGTGGGGCACCAGACCAGAAACCCATGGTGTGAGAAGCACCAGCGTGCCTTCAATGCGAGGGTGAGGCAACACAGCTCTCTTTGAATTCTCCCCTCCCAGGCTTTCCAAACACCTGGACAGGGGCAGTTCAGCAGCCAGACAACACTGCTCGTTCCATTCATTATACGTCTCCAACCAAGAGACTTTGCTGCAACCTGGTAAGCACCTGAACCCCATTTGCACTTGCCCCCATGTTGCTGACTCCCCAGTAAACCACCTTAAGATGGCGAGGACACCGAGTTCAGTGGCAGTTGTTTTCCAGCGCAGAGAGATGAGGTCAGTATCTGCCTGGTCTACCTCAGATCTTCCAGTGCAAGCGTGAGCCATTTCTTTTTATGCACTGCACGCGCCTTTCAAGCATACAGTAGGTTGTTTTCTAACGAGCTGGAACATCTTGCTTGATGAGATCTCTGCTCAAATTGTTATTTTCCTCCAGCTGGGTCAGGGCTTTCTGGCTTTGGCACAACAAGAAAAGCACACACATTTTCTGAGATTTACATATTGTAAGGACTCAGGTGCCCACATGGGCAGAAGCAGGGCTCAGACATCCTCCCTGCTCAAACAGGTTGCTTCCCCTTCCTACTAAACACTGCCTACGAGGGGACATTTCCCCTACCTCCACCCCGATCCCCCCAGTTTCAGGGGAGCAGTCATGGTCCTTGCACTTGTCTACACGTGCACTCGTCCCGTCGCACCCACCAGGCAACGTGACGGAAACACGGCATGGTACAAAGAGAGGAGCAATACATGCGTGAGGTGCACGGTGCAGATGCTGCTCCCAAGAGCAACCAGCAGCGTGCAACACAGCAGTGCAGCAAGGCTGCAAGCCTCGATGCTAGATGAGTTCACCTGTCACGACTGATGGAGCCCCTTTCAGCACTCAGCCAACGTGCAGTTATTTGCTTTTATAACATCCCCTGTTTGATGACAAACCTACCCACGCTGCTGCTTCAAAAAATGAGATGTTTCACAAATAACCACGCAGGGCTTTTATCTTCAAAGGCAATTCCCAGAGAGGCCACCGTTTCCACTCCACTACTCTCCCTCCACTGCCACCAGGTGTCCACCCTCCCCAGCATGCAGGGAGCAGCAGATGTGAGGCAGACCACATTGCACAATCTGTTAGATCAGGGCTAGAAAAACAATAATAATCCTGCCTGAACTCATGAATAAACAGACTGGTTTAATTACGGGTATGCTCTGACAGAAAGAATTTCCCATTCAAGCCTTTCATAGCACTCTCCCAAAAATACACGAGGACCTCAAGAATATCAACATGTGTATCCTCACATTACCCGGACTGGCAAAGCAAAACCCATTTTTACAGAGGATAACCTGAAGTAGGGTTTTTTTTTGTGTGTGTTTTGACTAAAGAAGTCTGAAGCCTGTGATTATCTACCAACCCCAGTGAGGTGACAGCAAGAACCTGATGGTGAAGAGCTGGACTTTCCATCCCAGGCAGGCAGCACATTGCACTCGTGTGCCATATTCTGCCTAAAATGCCATGGTGCTGTAGTGCTTGATTTATAATCAGAAAAAAAAAAAAAAAAAAAAAGAGGCGATTCCTACCTCTTTCCATCCTCCTGGCCCACCCTCAGACTATTCATTACCTAGACTGCAGAACACAAAAGCTATCCTGTCTTTCCTAGCCACGTTCCTTAAAGCCACCCAGCGTGGCAGCTCTGGGCAGTGTTGCAAGTCCCTGCAGACCCGCAGCACCGAGGTTACTGGATACATCCCTTGGTTCACTACAAAGGCTTAAGGTCAGAACCTCTACAAGCCTATCCCACTGAACCGCCGGAAAACTGCTGTCCCTTCAGGCATGGAGACACATGAGAAGCCAGCAGAGCCATCATCACCTGACAGATTTAATTTTTACTCATGCGGCAATTCCTGCTGTCCTCTGCAGGCAGCCCATGCATAAAATAAATGCCAGCCAAAAGCTGAGTATCTAGGGAAGGAGACAGAACCATTGCTACCCAAAATGCCCAAGATAATGCTGCAGGGAAGGCGCAGCCCTGAACAGGCCCTGCAGAGACAGTGCCCAGGTGTGCACAGAGTAAAGCAGTGCCTTATTCACCAAGGATTCAGTCACCCCTCACCCTGACTTCACTGAGGTGTTCAGATGCCATAGGAATGGAGAAATGGGAATCTGGGTCTACTTGAAAGTCAATGGTCAAGTGAAAGCTAGAGCAGTGCTTCAGCTGGCATTTAGGGGCTGGATGTATGGGCTCACACCCATACATTGGAGCACCAAGAGCAAAGAGCAGGACAAACGCGCTCCCTGCACCTCGTGTTTCTGGCCAGGCATTATTTTGTGGCCACTGCCACCTCGTGGCACTGTCACTGACAGAGGGGTCCAGAAACAATGAAGGGACTCCTTCACCCCCATTACAACCTAAAACAAAGGAGCTCTCTGGGCTTCACAAGAACATAGAAGCAAGAAGAGACCAGGCTTGGGTGTTTTTACCTGGCTGAAACACCCTTGGAAAACACTGTCTGCCTAATTCCAGGCCCGTTAATTCAGCCCAGGCCTTTGAAGCCCATCCCTGTCCACACAGGTTCTGCTGCATTCAGAACAAACCTGGAACTAAAATATTCTCTGTGTTACAGTTTCTCCTTTAATAATAATAAATAATAATAATAAAAAAAAGGCCTGGATATAATTGAAGTTGTCTGTTCTGGCAGGTGGCTAATAAAAAACAATGATCCTATCACCACAAAAGTTGTCTGGGGCTTACTGGATACTACCTCCCTGCTGGTAAAGTGTGATCTGCTTTATTCCTGCTGCCTCTTGCTATCTGAGAAGCTGGTCCAACCAATTTCCATCCATTACTGCTGCTCACCAACAGAATGGTTTCTTTAGGTCCGATACCAACAGCCCAGGCTCAATGATCCAGGCACCCCAGGTACAATGTGCACCCACAGCCCCCTCTGAAGGCTGACGTTTAACATCTCCAAACTGCTGCTACAGCCCGTTTGCACACAAAGTCAAGGACAGACTCTGCCCATGTCACCAACAAGCACCTACTGTGAGGCTACGTTACTTTCATCGTGAAGGCAGGCCCTGGTTCTCCCTGCAGACTGATGCTCAAATGTCCTCACAGCCTTCCAGCTGGAAGTCCTGTTTGCCAAAGGTGGCCAGCTACCACTAATGAGTCTTCTAGGGCAACTTGATCACCAACCACCATTACAACATGAACTTCTGAGGACTACCTTTAACAGCAGGTCTTAAATTTCAAGGCCTAGTGCCATTTGTGCATGCTTTCCGTTATTATGTTCTTAAAGAACACTGTGTACATAAGCAGATCGAGTCCTAATTCAACGCACACAATCAAACTACAGATGAAATTGTAAGAAATGTCTTCTTACTTACACCTTCTATGTCTTCAGCTTCCCTTCCCCATAGCTGAACAACCACTTGACACCATTTCAAAACATCCAATGCAGAGCCCTTGTTTTCATTGCCTGCACACAGTCCTTTGGAGAAGGATCACCACGGGTTAGTCCAGGCAGCACAACAGCAGAAAACATTTCCACCTGGGACACACACCCTTCCCCAAACTTCCCCTCTGCAACTTCGAAACACTAGCAAAGATGGTGTAAAAATTTGTGTGAAACGTGCAAGCTATACCTTTAAAGATGAAACACCTGCTTTCAGGTGCCAGACAGAAGACAGACCCATTTCTTACTCCACCAGGTTATATTACAAGCAGATCTGGGAGTATTTGCACTGAGCCAGCACCCCTGCATGCACACAGCCTTAATTATAACTTCAAACTGCCTTATCCCCACCCTTCTGCAGAAGCATGTTAGCAGGAACCCTTCTTCTCTCAGCTGTGTGACCTCTGCCTATTGTCTGTAGTGATATTTACAGTTGCTTTTGTTTTCCCTGCTCTGTAGGCTGGTTCCTAGAGCCTTTTCATACTTGGAACGTGTCAAGTAAATAGAAACACTGACAGGGAGACTAATTTAAGCATCAAGGAACCAAACTACCATTAAAACACTAACACGCACAGGAACACATTCTAATATGCTAAGGAATAATAGCCAATCTGAAAAACAATAGGTAATTTTCTTCTGCCTCCTGCTCTTTTTATGGTTCATATTACCTGCCATAAGTAGCGATTACAGAGCCCATAACGCGGCATGGAGGAGAGGAGGCGGGGAGCCCAGCGTACACTACAAAACACTCACCCTCAAACTCTGCCCATCAAAGGGAATTTAATCTCCAGATGTCTACCATTTAAGAAATATCAAGCAAAATGGTGAGAATAGACTGCAAAATGCCTTTTTTTGCCATTATACTCACTACTGAGGGAAAACATTTTTGATGGGGTGACCTTTGCATTGAGCTGTGTTCATACTGAAATGCATTTTGCAGACCATGAAAAAAGCAGCTCTTTTTGACAGCTGAACTCAATACGTAGGAACTATTTAAGAGAAGCTGCTTTACAAACAGCAGGCGGCAGATGACAATTAGTTTTATTCTTCTATTATGGTACTGATAGGAAAAAAATTATCTCCATTAGTCACACTGTGCTTGATACTACAACAAAGAGAGACCAGGCTCTCCCTGTCTTCTTTCCCGTATTTTATTTTCTGTGTGTCTGCCCGCGTCACCTTAATTCCATCCTACGCATACACTTACATTTACTCTTCTGTCTGTTCCCAATTCTGTCTCCCCTGGGTTTAATTCTGCCCTGAATATGTTGCATATTGAAATGCGTTAAATGCAAACCCTAGACTATAGCAGAGCTTTGCATTAGTCCTCGAAGACCAAGATACAAAGCTAAATCCAAAGAAGACAAGCACTGAGGAGGAGAAGGAAAACAGCACAGAACAAGCCTTTTTACAAGATTATTTTCTTTTAAAGCCTCACCTTTTACCTCATGGTGGTGACTCCAGCATCTGAGGGAAGGCAGGGGCCATGGCAGGACCCAGACCAGAACCATTACTTCCCTGGGAGGAAGCTAGTTTTGCCATTCCTGCTTAGAGCTAGAAGTTTTGGGGCAAACCAGCACTCGTGGCTGTACACAGGGAACACACAAAGGGCCAAGCCCACCAACACCCCACCAGAACCCCTCAGAAGAAGCACCAGGACACCCCAGCACATCTGTCCCACCCAGGCCCTGCCACTATTACATGCCCCTCCCTCACACAGCCACCCCAGCCCCACAGGGAGAAGAGCTCCTCACTCACCCATCCTCACAGCTAGAGGTGGTAACAGTCAGCAGCTGCCTTCCATCTCATCTCCACCAGCTCGCCAGGAAGGGCCAAGGCAGCGCAGCTGTGAGCTGCCCGCACTGAGGCAGGGCCGGCAGCCATCTTAGGTGGCGTCCCTCAGCTGCGGCGCCCTCCTCAGCATGGCCCTGTCAGGCCACTGGGGCTGGTGGAAGCTCTCATCTATTTACTGCCAAACACTGGGATATTTAATTCCTTCAAAATACCCTCCAGAAATGCATCTTCCTCCAGCTGGTTAATGGCTTCTCACTGATGGCCCAGTGTGTGAGGAGAAAAGCACGTGGCTGTTTCAGTAGTGGCAGCGTGGCTCTTAAAGAGCTCTTAAAGCTCGGCTTCTATGTAAACATCTTTCAGCAAACACAAAATCATGAAAGCCCAAGTCTGCTGGTGATTGCTGAGACAAAAGAGGGAGAAATGGGACACTGGAGTGCTTTTGGAAGTAGACCTGCAAGAGCATAGGGTATCAACGCAATGTTTGCTGGCACTTGTGCTGTATATACCACAAGGGCCCACTCCCTTCCCGTGCTCATCATGTTACTGAAAATGACAGCCAACTGCTTTTGGAAATAAAAAGAAACACAGACAGACGTTGCACCCACTTCTGAGTGCCATTTGAGGAAGCACATGCATCTGGTGCCTCTCTGAAAACTCAAAAGGTGAGGACAGGGCACCAGGACTGCAGCTTAGCAAAGAGGGAAATGTGCAAAAGCAGCCCAGCACCGCCAGTCTGGGCCCTCTGCATGATGCTGAGGAGGGCCAGGAGGGCAGTAGCCCTTGTCTGTGGAAAAAACAAATGTGGGTGCTGCTTTGCCACTGAAAGGCCTGGCTTTGGAAGCACCAGCTCCTACACAGGAATCCCCAAAACCCCACTATTACCCTGATCTGCCCCAGCTGCCACCCAGCACGAGCATCATGGGTGGGAGCAGACATGGATCTAGAAATGCCTCAGCAGTGCTCAAGTATTCCCATCTCCCTGTCATTCCCAAACTAGACAAAAGGATTAACCCCACCAGCATGGACACCACTCTGAGCTGGTGTCCTCACTAGTATCCAGTAAACCAGGAAAAGCTACAGCACACACCTGCGCTTTGTTGTAGGTGTTTTGTTTCACAACTTGTTTTGTTTCTTGTTCATGTAAGTGCATAGTAAGTTTCTTCAGCGATAAGCTGAATTTGAGAAGAAAGCTTTTTCAGTCTTAGGCTGGTCTGGGTATGCAGCATCATTTTGCTTCAGAAGGGACTAATTTCACTGCACCATTTGCAGAAAAGTGACCGTTTTCCTCAGCTTGTCAGACACCTCATAAGAGTGATGGAGCAGAGGCCACAAAGGTGGCAGAAGAGCATTTGGTGTGGTCTAGGGCCTAAGAGCGCTGTGTGAGGCACCAGACAGTGACCCACAAAGACAAAGAGATTTACGGAACCCATTCCCATCCAGGCAAGCGTGTAAATGAAAGGGCAAACAAAACTAATAAAAATATATATCTTATAAAGAAGTTATTTGGCCATAAATGAACACCAGGGTGGCAACATCAGGCACGACAGTTCCCAGATACGTTTTTTCCTGAAGGTCAGGCAGCCCTTTGACTAATAAAATTTGAGAAGCATGCCTATAAAGTCTATTCCTGCCTCTGTTCTCTGCCTGCAGAGAGAATATATGTGCACGAGCCTGTATTTCAGATAGCTGTGGCCAAGGATAACTCAAAAGATCTTCCTGATAAAAATATCCTTTGTTGTATGGCAGTTCCCAAACAATGATTTTGGTAGAAAATAGGCACAGTCACATGAAAAGCTACACACAGGATACAAAAGGCAACAAACAACAGTATGTGAATTCAGACTGTTCTTTAAACATTTTAATATCAGCTGAAGCATTGAAAATGTGATGAGCATATAGTTAGGAGACACTTCTTTGCATCTAAAAATACCATGCCAGCTCTGGAAGAGAGCAGTCATCAGCAGACAGGAAAGTTACATAAGCCTTTGTGTGCCATTGTCTATGAGAAGCAAAAGGGCCCCAGGTGCTTTCTTGGTGTGGGAAATAGCACATAGCTTATCAAGCAGTTTGATTTTTATGACAACTAACGTAACAAATCCATCAGGGTCATCCTGAAAGAACCACAAGACACAGATATTCATGCTATACATTGGCCTCCTTTGATAAAAGGCCAGGTATCATCCGTAGCACTTAAAAAACAATACCTATTTTTAAATGTACAATCTCCAAATAACTTCGTAAACCCTGAAGTAAGAAACAACATTTGGGGCCCATTTTGTGACTGCTTTGCATGAGGCCATGCTCCCAATACAGCAGAAACAATAATGAACTCCATGGACAGCTTCCAGTTGGATTTACTGGGCAGTATTGCCTCTCGGAGACATCATAGCCTGGCAGTGCTTGGATCTGTGCCAGTGGAAATCTTCCCTTCAGTTGTTTGAGCTTTGGATCACGACTGACTTGCACAGACCTTTAAATGTGAGCTTCAGTGAGATTCACGGAGAAAGGTGAATGCAGCACATATTGCCTATTAAAGGTCACTGGTTCAGGGACAAATTTGAGCAGGCAGCAGCCAAGATCAGACATTATCCTCAAGACTGACCGTAAATTACTTTATCCTTCAGATCAGCTAAAAGCAAGGACCTGAACATCACCTAGACTGCAAGGGACACCTGAAATCTGGGTCCTTCTCAGGCCTACACAGAGGCTTTTATCCTCCTTTCCTTGGTGGCTAAAGAATGGTGAGCACTGGCACGGCCACACACCAGTCCTGCTGCAGTCCCGACTCAACCCCATTCCCCACACCCCCATGTGCTTCCCATATAATCTCTGTTGTTGTTCCATGCAGATGGCTCTGTTTTTACTTAAGGCAATTCCATGCCTTTCATTGTGTTTTTAATGCTCATTTCACCAAGATTCACTCCCACAACTGTGCTTTCTGGCTTCTTCCAGCTTTTGTCCTTTATTTTTACTGCTGGAGTCAGAGATGATTATCTCTAAGAAAAAAAATTCAGCTGAATTATGCTGATGGTAAGCGCTGTTTCTCCTGCTCTGTCTGATTTTCCATGCAAGATGCTTTTCGTACAGCTTTAAGTGTTTTATTATTTGGAAATTGGTAGCCACACCTCCAAGTCTCCCTCCTTTCCCTGCTGTGAAAAGCTCCAGCATTGCTGCAGGGAGGGGCTGTAGCCTCTGGCTGGCCTGGATAGGAGAGGACCACAGAGACATTCCACAAACACAGGCTGCTCAGGGGCACTGTCACCTCCTGTGGTGGCATTGAGGTGGCTCTGAGCACCTCTGTCTGTGTGCCCCTGGAGGAAGGGATCTTCCTGCACCAGGGCACATCTCGCTGAGAGGCAGCAATAGGAATGCAGGCTTCCCAGAAGCAGCATGTGCTCCAATGTGACATGGAGATAGATCCTCGAGCCATCTCTGTTGCTGCCAGTGCTGGGAGGTGGCCAGGCAGTGGGGAAGCATTGCTGAGGTCCAGGACTGAAGAAGGATCCTGATATCACCCAGAATCAGCATGAGTCAGGGGTGGACAACGCTGTCCTTCTAGAGCATCCTCTTCCCCCTGGCACGAGGTCTCAGAAGATGCTACATGAGTCTCCAGCCATGACGAAGGTCCTCATGAGAAGCATTTTGCCATCCTTTCATGCAGAAAGAGCCAAGCCCTCCCCAGCCGCACTCTGTGTTAGACCTCCCCATGTTTTCTTCCCAATGCTGTTGCTGCCTACTCACGGTTTGGACCACCAGCTCTCAGCTGCTTCTTCAGCCACTTTTCACGCATCCACAGCAGCCTTGCTGCCCTACGCATCTATTGCATAGGACCTGGCAATGATATAAGCCCTCTTACATCACTTAGGAGGCTAGCACCGAAAGCTAGTAGAGCAGATGACCCTGTAAGGGAAGGAAAAAGCATTAAAAGCTTCCCCATGTTGCCACAGCCTGCCAACAGGTCCATTGAGGTCTATGTCCCCTCAGCTGGCCATGCTGCCCAGGCACTACAGGGGAGACTTGTCTACGTCAGCCAAATCACTGCTGTAACACAAGCATCTCGGTTTTTATTCCCTGCCTACTCGTTGGATCCCAGCACCAGTATAAATTACCTGCTGATCTCACAGCATGCTGAGAAACGGCAGCTTCATGCCCATACAAGACCTCCATGCAACATCCCATGGGCTTGTGAAATAATATATGGTCAGAACCATGAAATAGAGCAAGAACTATTGAAAGCCACTGCTGGCTCAGCATTTCTGTTTTCATCAAAGCAGCAGTTTTTTTTGGTAATAGTTTTTCCCCCTTTTGGCATTTCCATTAGAAAACCAACAGGGGAAAAAAAAGGAAAGGAAAAAAACCCTCAACAATCTCTGAATAAAAGTTATAAGCAGCCTGACACCTGGTAATGAGATATTTCAAGCCATGGCCTGGCACTTTTATAGTATTTCTAAACTATGCACTCAATCAAGTGAACTTCGGAAGAATGGAAAGTCTGTTACTTCCAGGCATATGTCTTAAGGTTTTTCATCTTATGCCTCAGCAATGGAAGAATACAGTACAAATAAGGCAGGCAAATAACTGGCAAGTAAATACTTTTGCCACACTATAATTATTTCCCTCAACAAAAAGACTTCCAAGACAGATCCTGACACAGCCAACCTGAGAAGCTCTTGGCTCCTCTCATTTGAAATACTTCATGACTTTTCTTAAGGAAACAGAGCTCAAACATTCCCTTTGTCTGCCCAGCCTGTTGTCTTCCCGTCCCCAAGCAAATCTGCAATCCCCTAGCCAATAAAGTTTGAACTAGAGGTCCAAGATTTTCCATTTCTGCACGTTCCCATTAAATCATATGCAGAAGAGAGAAGAAATCCTAGTGCCACTGCAGAAAAGCAACTGGAAGAGGGGTACCCGTGGA